GAGCAGGGAGCCCGATGTGGGGCTCGATCCCAGGACCCTGGGATCATGACCTGAGCCGAAGGCAGACGCTTAACGACTGAGCCACCCAGGCGCCCCTGACACATTTTCTTTAGCAAGAAGATTGTTAGTGACCTACTGACTGGTAGTTTGTAAACAAATCTTTTAAAGTGTTGGGCTTTGAAGCGGTGGAGAGGGGACTATAAAGGAGAGAGAGAGATTGAGGGAAGTTTTTTGTTTTTTTTTGTTTTAATTTGCACGTACATCACACGGGGTTGGGAAAGAGGCCTCCAGAAAGGAGATAAATGGCTAGTACTACTTAATCAAGTAGTAAACATTTAATGGTATAATCATTTGAATATTATGTTCCCGTGGGGTGCCTGGGTGGCTCAGTTGGTTAAGTGTCTGACTCTTGGTTTCGCTTCAGCTCAGGATCTCATGGGTCTTGGGGGCCAGACCCACCTGGGTTCAGTGCTCAGCAGGGAGTTTGCTTGAGATTCTCTCCCTCTGCCCTGCACATGTGCTGTCTTTCTCTCTCTCACATAAATAAATCTTTTAAAAAACAAATGTTTCTTTTTTCTTTGCTTCTCTTTCTTTTTTATAGGATGAAGTTGTGATATGTCCCTATGATTCCAATCATCACATGCCTAAATCATCTTTAGCAAAGCACATGGTGTCTTGCAGATTGAGGAAACTGGGCTATACCAAAGAAGAAGAGGTACCATAAATTTATGATGTATATGTCATGTAATTCATGCGTGAATAAATTCAGAATATTTGGAAGGTATAGTGTAAAGTTTTCTGATATAAAATACTAGTCATTTGTGAGGTAGAATGGTATTTGCCTAATTGCGCAAATTTTTGTAAGAAATATTTAAGTGATAGTAATCTCTTGTTGGTTCATGTCAAATCTTAAAATAGTCAATTATTGGTTACGAATACTAACTTTTTGTTTTTACTGTTTAGGATCAAATGTATAATTCTGATTTTTTCTATGAGAATGTGAAGATACCTTCAATTACTCTGAGTAAGTATTAATTTAATAGATTATAATTTAAAAATAGTATAGGCATTGATATTTCATTTTTGAATTATCAAAAGAATGGACTTTATAAGTGTGCTTGTGATTAAGAAAGACATTTCGTACCTTAAGAGAATGTAGGATTAATTAATGTACAGTGAAACTAGTTTGCTTAATCTGGAATTTAGAGACCAGGCTTACATTAATAGGCAGTGAAAACCCTCCAAAGCTTTGTACAGTAAGACAGATACCTTCTTTCTTGAATATAACAAAAATCTGGCCATACAACACAGTTTGCAAACTGAGGATGGAAATGTGTTCCAAGTGTTCACAGCATATGTGGAGGTTAAAATTCCAGGCTCTGGAATCAATGCCCTGATTCAACTCCTGGTTTTGTCACTAGTAGATTTGTGACTTTTAGCAAGTAGTTATACCTTTTTGTTGCTTAAATTTCTTCGTAAAATGGGGGATGATGATAATAGCACCTTTGTGAGGATTAAATGATATAGTATATGTAAAATGCTTAGAATAGTCCCTGACACTTAGCTGGATTCAAAACATGGTAGCTGTTATTAGTTGCTAAAATTTGCAGCAGCTACTGCAGCATGCCTGATGATAATGTTTTCTAAACTACCTGAAATCTAGTTACTTACTGGGTTCTAGCTAGATCTGAAAGAATTCTGCATTCAGATTACCTAGGCAGCAGTGTAGGTTTTTTCCACTTTTCAGATTCTGGAGGTTTGTCAGTGTGGCCAAAGAGCTTGGATTGGAAACAAGTTAATAATTTGATTGTGGACACTGATGATTCATATTGTATTTATGGGTGCTTTTTTTTGACAGATAAGGACTCACAATTCCAGATAATTAAACAGGCTAGAACTGCAGTTGGAAAAGATGGTGATTGTTATAGTCAAAGTAAGTGGCATCATAGTTTGAGCTAATTAATGATTTAAACTATTTTTGTCCCATAAGCATTTGTTACTAATTTTTAAAAAAATCTTGTGGAAACAGTTGCATGAGAAAAGTTACATTTTATATTTAACACTAGACCAATGTGTTTGGTGTCAGCTTCATTTGGTAGATATTTTCTGCTCAAATACAGCAGAGATTCTTTCTTCATAGCTCTTTTATGTATTCATTTCTCTTTCATAAAGCATTGACATAGGCTGGACAACTATTTTCCCTTCCATATTAGGCGAAGAAATAGAGGCACACAAAAATGGATTCACACTTCTTTGCTAGGGGCTTAGTAATAGCCACACTGGATTGAGAACCAAATTTTGGATTTGGTACATACTCTGAACTGAGTTATTCTGTTTTCTGATAGAAACTACATTTCAGTGGAATTTATGGACTAGGAATCACTGATCAAATATATTCATTATTATCTCTGTTATAATTAAGTCGAAGAATACCACAAACTTCAAATTTGTACCTACTCACTGCTTGCTATTATTAGTACTGTTCTTTGTTCTGATTTGTGTAAGCCTCCTTTAAAGAAAGAAACTAGTTGCTTGGCCTGGTACAAATGACAGTTTTTCTGAGGGGTTTTGTTTCCTTGTCTGTAGTATAAAACTGTCTTGTATTGTTGTTTGGGGTAACGGAGATAATTAATGCTAAACTAGCCCGGGCTCTAATAATTGGCTGCTTATGTCTAAGCAATTTAATTTCTAAGCACGTTAATGTATAGAAAGCGATATAAAGATAATGAAATGGGTGAGAATTTTATATATGTAATTTAGAGAATGTTCTCAAGGTTTTTTTTATTTATATGGCTAAGTAATAAGGTAGATTTGGACCTTGAGTTTAGTTCTTTACAAAAGCAAAGAATTACTTTGAATAAATAGTTCCTTCAGTAGAAAGTTAAGAGGAACTTTTATTTTGTTTTGGCACTCTCTTAAATTAAGATTTACCTTGAGAATTTTGTTATATGATCTGTGACCCTCTTTTTAAAACTTTTTTTCATCTTGTATAGAGTTCTACAGTTTCTCAATGGACCTTATTTTTGTGGCCCACTTTTGTCTAGACATTTTAAGATCTTATAGCCCAGAACAAGAATCTTTTACTATCTTACTGATTTATTTACTTTGAAGGAAGAATGACTAACATGAGCAATTTTACATTTTCCATTTAATTAATATTTTGTTTGTCATGTACTAAATTATAAGTTTTTGATGAGTTATATTTATGTTTCCATTTCATCACTCATACCAGGTCTCCACTCAGTGTATAGAATTCTCAATTCATTAACCTTTGTGAAAGCTTGAAACAACCATTAGATCTACTTACTTATTTTCAGATATAATTACCTTGGTTAATTTTATAACCAAGATGCTAATTTTAATCATAAACAGTCATTTTATGTTTAGCGGTTTATCTTTTTCCTTCAGTATTATTTGCTGTACTTCAGTTTCATGACATATATTTGAATCATGGCCATGATTTGAAGATCAGTGCATTATACTAAAGAACCCTCAAGAGACCCAAGTAGAATGGTTCTAGGCCTAATCTGTTCTTACCACTTGTGAGACTTGGGCAAGTCATTTTTACCTCCATGGGCCTTAATTTCTTTTTCTATGATGTTTGGAAATTGACTCTGTATGAATTCTCTGTAAAATTCTGAATTTGTAGCTTTGAACCAGTACTTTTTATGAATATTTAATATTATATGTCATATGTTTAAGATGCTCTGTCGTGGCAAAGGTGACTAAAAAGAAAGGATCAGAGTTACTAAAAAGCTAGATTAGAGTTTCAGTTTGGGTGATGAAAAAGTTCTGGAGATGGAAAGAGGTGATGGTTGCAAAACACTGTAATGTACTTAATGCCACTGAGCTGTACACTTAAAAATGGTTAAATGGTACATTTTATGTAATGTATATTTTACCACAGTTTTAAAAAAGCTACTACAAAAAAAGTAGAGGATCACAGAATTTAGTATGATTACAGCACATTCAGATATACTTTTAAATCATATAGAAGCTTATGTTTGAAAATTTACTTTTTATGGAAATGTCAGCTTATTTGTGTTTATCCTTTTTTTTTTTTTTTGTCGGAAATATCTATGTTCTCAATGATTTGAATGCAGTTTGTTGTTTAACTTTTCCTGTACTTTTTCTTTTTCAGTAATTGGGGTGAGTATAAAGAGGAATTAGGAACCTGAATATACTCCTTATTTAAAGATATGCAGTATCCTTTTTGCAAATGATATCCTTTTAAAAGTATCACTCAAATTTCTAAACTTCATCTTAACCACTGTCACAGTATTATAGTCTTTGGAATTTTAGTTGAATTTCAAGGAATTTAAGTATCAATCTTCACCATACAGAAATTTAAGATGAATAAAGACAACTCCAGAATATTTTAAGAAGGAAATTATATTTCTTTGTCTAAAAGTAACAGGCAAAGGTTTATGTGGAGCTTGTTTATAATGTATCAGTGTTTTCTAATCTTTGTATTTTTCTCCCAGCTTTTTATAGCCTATATTCAAAGTAATTAGGCTTGTCAAAGCTAACTCATTTTTATAGTACCAAGTTAAATGTTTTAATACCTGCCTGCATAAAAAGGCTTTTCCTACTGTCTACTAGAATTAGAGTGAAATTGATTGACTTGAAAGGAAGCCCTTCTCCACTAATTCAGAACCCTTCGACTAATACAAATGACCATGTATTGTTATCCATGGCTCTTCATGAACTCATATTCAATGTGGCACTCCTCTTAATTTGTAGACAAATGTAAAGTCACCTCTTTTTTTTGTGTTGTAGTGCTTAGTTCATAGTTTGCTCTTATTTTAATTTTTCTTTTGCCTCTTTACCTAGGAAGTCAGTGAGGTTAGATTTATCAAATAAAAGTATCTGGGAAGAGCTACTGATCTTATCTTGTTCTGTGAACCAGAGTTATTATTTTAGGGTAACCTAGGAAACATTAGTGGCTCCTGTTCATTGTTTGCATCAGTGAATAATGAAGGCTAGAAAGAATGGTTTTAAAACAATTGCTTTATTTACAGTTACAATAATTTTTTTATTTCTTTGAGAAAATTTGAATCTCAAAACAAAAATTTTCTTCAGTGTTTAATAAACATCATATCAAGGTATTGTATTTACTTTCTTTCATTAATGAGCAGATTTTAGAAAGTTCTGTGACTTTTGGGGGGGCACTCCTGTTAACTTTTAAAATTAATTCGGTTATGCCAAAATGCTTCTTCAGAAAATTAAAAATTTAGTCTCAGTTTAATCTCTCTCTGGTCTGGGAAAGTTTGGGGTTTCTGCTACTTAAGTAATTGTGTTTTGGTCCCTAGCTCTGAGTCATTGTACAAGTGGGGTATATTTTGAATAATGAACACCTAACTTGATGTCTCATATAAAAAAGACATTTTTTACCCATTTTTCATATTTCCATAATTTATTTTCAGAGGGACTACAATGTGTATTACCTCTTGAAAGCGATTTTCCCCCAGCTTTTATGGGGAAAAGCATATAAACAGAAAGAAAGTTAATAATCTACTTCTATAATATTGGTAGCCTTTCAAAAATTGTTACCCAGAATGTTTTCTTATGAGCAAATTATCTCATGGTTATTACTGCCTGCCTTCATGGGATCTGTCCTAACATTGTTGGAGAAAATAGCAAACATCCACAATACATCCTTTCTGTGGATATAGCATTGAGGATAAAGTCACTGTTTACCATTTATCACATGGATATTTTGTATTTTAAGGGATTACTATGAAAACAACTGTGTTAATGTTGCATTATTACAGCGCATGTTTAAAGATAAGGAGATTTTAAGTCCACAATGCTTCATGTATTTTTTATTCTTGTGGTTTTATTTTTACTTTAGGGATTTACTCTTCATTACCTGTTGAAGTTCCTCTGAATCACAAACGGTGTGTTTGTGATTTAACCCAAGCTGATCGTCTTGCCCTCTATGATTTTGTAATGGAGGAGACGAAGAAAAAGCGCTCTGATTCACAGATTATTGAAAATGACAGTGATCTTTTTGTAGACTTGGCTGCCAAAGTCAATCAAGGTTTGAGACGAATGTCATAATTTTATATTTCTTAATTGTCATTTCATTCTTTGTGTGTTACTAAGATTTAGTTGTCAGACCACTTTGAATTGGAATAGGATGGTTTTGCATTATCTGATATTCACATACATGTTAAGATACTTACTCCGTGCATGAAATTTTGCTCTCTGACTTACATTAAGTGTACCTTCCTTCTGTAAGATTGTTACAGCTGTGCTGGTCCTTTAATCTTTGTACTTAACAATCTTAGGTTCAACTAACGGCTAGAGAAAAGGAATGATATTAAACAGCCTATTTCTATAATATAGAATTTTTAGGATGTTTTCAGATGCAGGAAAACGTGTTGAAATACGGGATGATTGTGGTCTTTCTTCCTGCTAATTCATAAGAATTTAAAAGCTTCCAAGGATATAATAATTTTATTTTATTCTTTTATTAGATAATAGTCGAAAAAGTCCAAAATCTTACCTTGAAATCCTGGCAGAAGTGAGAGATTATAAAAGAAGACGCCAGTCCTATAGAGCTAAGAATGTTCACATAACCAAGAAATCGTATACTGAGGTAAGTTTTATATAATCTTTTAGAGCTTAGTTGAGAACAGAAATTTCCCTTAGAAGTTTTCTAAGTCTGCTGTATGGATTTCCACAGTTCCTTAGAGGTTATCTAAAAGAAGGTATCTTCAAGGCGGCCACACCTGATTTGTATTTGCTCCATTCCTTTCAGATCCACTGTGCCAGGCAAAGGCTTTTCAGGGTACAAAAATCTTATGTAAAGAGGCTGTACAATCTTAAAAAAATACCTGCTTTTGAGAAAGTAGCATTACATCATGATAAAAGCATAGATTTTGGCCTTAGACCTGTGTTAGAGTTTTGATCCTGCTGTTTATCATTGGCTGTTTGACTTGAACAACTTACTTGAGCATTTTAAGTATCAACATTTCTCATTTTATACATTTTATGTAGACTTTGTAGGGTTGTTGTAAGAATTGATTGAGAATGCATGTGGACACAGAAATTGGTCAACAGATAGCCTTTGTCTTTTCCTTACAGAAGTTTTAGCATGCTTTTATGCACTCTGTTAAATATTTGGGCTTAAAAAATATCTGGCACAAATTATTTATATATTAATCTCTTGATCTATATCTAGACTTATTTTCAGACTTCCTTTAGTGGATAGAGCTGATGAATTTTTTGGTACATGAATTACCTTGCCCAGACTCTACACGTAATTTCCTCATTGAATCTCTAAATTCTTACCACATTATTTTCTTACTTCTCTCTATGTTTTCTAAGACTGTCCATAATCTGGCTTCATTTTATCAGATAGTTTCTTTTGGTTTAGTCAAGAATGTCTCTTAAACTATATCTGATTACACACGTTTACTCTTGTCTTTGTATCCAAATGACATGTTGTTTGCTCACCTGAAAATGCTCTTTGTCGTTTCTCTTTTAAATCTTGATAAGTTTAAGGCCCACTGTCTCCATGAGGGGCTAGTTGACCCAGCCATTCGCTGGTTGATTGCTTTTATGTTCTCTGTACCACATAGCTTAGTACTTAAATCTTATGCTGTTCTTTTTACAATTAAAGTATATGTTCTAGACTTAACTCTTGCAGTAGAGGTCTGGGACCATGTCATAACTACCTAAGTATTCTTACAGTCCCTCAAATACTTGATGGTTCATCAGTAGTTTCTTCTCTAGTTTCATTCCTTATAATCAAGTGTAAGTGTTGCTGCTAGTGTTCTTCACAATTTTATGGTTAAGTTTTTATTATGGAAATATTCAAACATAGACTAAAGTGAATGGAATAGTCTAATGAACCCTTTTGTCCCTGTCACTCAGCCTCAACAATTATCAACATATGGCTTTGTCATTTTATTTATACTTACACTACCTCCTACTTTCTCCTTCCTCCACACTGATAATTTTGGAAGCAGATGCGAAATACCTTTCATCTGTAGAAACTTCAGTGTTTACAAATCTTTCAGTGATTTATCATATTTGTGGTCATGGCTTTTTCAACATCTTATCTCTTTCTAGCTTCATTCATATCCTCTATAATTTTTGTTTGCTTTGGACTAGAACCTAAACTTTGTCAAATTTTAGAAAAAATTTATTACCTTCTATACTTACTATGCATAACACTGCTATTGGGTAGGTAAGGATAAATGGCACACAGCCCCCACCCACGAGGAGCTTAGTATAGTTTAACAAGTGAAACATCTTTCAAAATACAGATTGCGTTAAGTGCTAAAATAAAGTGAGATCAAAATATGTGGGAGAAAGGAGCAATTCTTTTTAAAAGATAAGATTGGTATAGGCTTTATAGAGAAGATAGCATTTGAAGGAAAGGGAGAAGCAGGAACGGTAAAGAATGTCTGTTCATAGGCCCTTTCCTATGTGGTGAACCTGGAAACTATCCAGTAACATTCGGGCCTCGTGGAGCTCATGTAGAGCTACTGCTAGTCTGGAGTCATGTTGGGCTACTCTGGAAGTGCTAGAGCTGAGAGTGGGAATTTAGGTGTGTGTGTGACTCATGTCACATGTCTTAGATTTTCACAAGAGAATATGGTAGAGGAGGGGAAATGGTGGACAAGGATATTCCAGGTCGAAGGGCTAGCATTCCTAATATAAATAGATAAAAGTGCAGGAGTTTTCCAGAGACCCATCAGTAATCCAAGGTGCCTAGAGCTTAGGGTTTTTGAACTATCCAGTAGGAGATAAGGCTGGTTTCAATTACATGATGTAGTAAAATCATGAAAGGTTTCAAAGGCTCTATTAAGGATTTTGGACATTGTTCCATTTTACTTTGGGAGCCTTTGAAAGTTTCCTTAAAGTGGGGAGAAACTCAGTCCTGAACTATGTAGTGTGTGTCTTTGAGATTGCCCCTTGTCCCCTGTACCTACTAACTATTTGTCTGTCTGTCTATCTATCTATCTGAGAGAGATCACGAGCGGGGGGGTTGGGAGTGGGTAGAGGGAGAAGCAGACTTGCCACTGAGCAGAGAGCCTGATGGAGGACTCGATCCCAGGACCCTGGGATCATGACCTGAGCTGAAGGCAGACGCTTAACTGACTGAGCCACCCAGGAACCCTTTTTTTTTTTTAATTTAAATTCAGTTATCCCCTGTACCTTCTTAAAACATTTCCTAATTAGGCATGAAGGAAGTGTAAGCTATTTTAGTTTCATCTGTGCCTCCCAGTTGAACAGCCCTATGCTCGACTGCATGGATAAATTGGAAAGAAAAAACTTCCAAGTGGCTCTTAGATGTAAGGGATTTATATAGTCTCTTAGGAAAGTATCTGTGAAGTGACTAGAATGTTTCATATTTTGTCGTCTTGACTTAATTATAAAATTAAAAAAAAATTTTATTTGTAAATAATCTCAAATATACAAATAAGTTGCAAAACTAAAAATAGTACAAAGTATTGAAAATCCTTTACCCAGATCACCTGTTGTTAACATTTTGTCCCATTTGCTTGTCATTTGTGCTCTCTATCTGTACATTTTTCTCTTTTGATCTCATTTTTTCTAAACTATTTGAGAGTAAGTTACATACCCCATGATTTTTTGTCGCTAAATACTGAGTATATCTTAAGAATAGGGATAGTTTCCTACCATAATCACAATATAGGGATTGACCAACAAGTTTATCAATAATTATTGTACTTTCATCTACCATTCATATTCCAGTTTGACCATTGACTTTTTTATGTTCTCCAAACTGCTCATGTCCCACAGTCCATTCTGTGATCCAAATATTTGGATGATTGTTAACAGTGATTTTTCTAGCTTTATATAATTTTTTGAAAAAATCTTATCTGAAATTGGGTGCTTATCTCTCCTGAGGTGATTCGTGATGTCATAAATGTGCACATGGAAGAACTCAGTAGTCATTGGCAAGAAGAGCAGGAAAGAGCAGAGGATGATGCTGAAAAGTATGTCATGGTGTTTACCGGTGAAAATATTCTCTTTTTAATCTGTTACATTATTATTTAACTAAATTTTAGCGTTTCCAAGACCATTAATAATAGCACACCATAATTCATTAAAATGCTTAAGTTGTTCTATGTTGTCATTGCTCAAGATTATTATAGCAGAGTTTTTCTGTTGACATTGCTCTTTGACAATTTTGGAGAGACAAATATATTAGTGAAATAGTAAAGAGGTAAAACATGTAAGAGCTATATTTCTTTGCCCTCTCATATAGAATATAAGTTTATACCTATTTATATCGACTCTATCATTGTTCTGATATAGAATATTCAACTTTAAGCTAGTTTGTCTGTGTGTTTGGTGGAGACTCGTGGTTAAAACTAACTGTTCTGTATTCCTATTCCTCCATTCCTATTCTCCATTCCTATTTCAGGAATGAAGAAAGGCGATCAGCTTCAGTAGATTCACGGCAGTCTGGTGGAAGTTATTTGGATGCTGAGTATTCACGACATAGAAAGGATCGGAGTAGGAGCCCACATAAACGAAAAAGAAATAAAGATAAGGATAAAAACTGGGATTCGAGAAGAAGGAAAGACAGGTAAGTCTAACACTGCATCATCTGATGTTGAGTTGTTTACTCTTGAAAAGTAAATAGATTCTTCTGTTGTAGACAATGTTGAGAAAATGGATTGTAAGAGTAAATTACAGTAAGGAGAGTAAGTTTTTGATGAGAATTCTTATCATTTGATTTCAGTTCAAGTAACCATAGCTCTGGTGGCATAGTTCTCTATATGCCTGATTCGATGTGGGTTTCCCTCTTTTACTCCTTGTTTCCTAGCCAGGACATAGGGAAGTAATGTCTAGGTAGGAAGTTAACTCTGTTAGCGAGGTGTTTGCCTACATCTCTTTTTTCTGCTCCTTCCTCCCTCCTTTTTCTTGTCATTTCTTTCTCCTGCTAATTCCTGAGTTAAAGAGTCTGTAGGGTCAGAGAGACATCCAAAGTTTAATGTCAAGTCAGTTTTGCCCTTGTTAACATCGCTGATAGAATTTTGACAGCTGGAGGGGCACCTGGGTGGCTCAGTCGTTAGGCGTCTGCCTTCGGCTCAGGTCATGACCCTAGGATCAAGCCCCTCATCGGGCTCCCTGCTCCGTGGGAAGCCTGCTTCTCCCTCCCCCACTCCCCCTGCTTGTGTTCCCTCTCTTGCTGTGTCTCTGTCAAATAAATAAATAAAATCTTTTAAAAAAAAAAAAAGAATTTTGACAGCTGGAAAGATATGAACTAATACTAAAATAATAAATTTAAATCAATTGTGATCTATTCCAGTAGTCCAGCTGCTTATGGGGCATCTACCTGGATCTCAATGTTAGGTCTCTAACTGAACTATCTCTTTTTCATAGTGACCCTCTTTCCCCAGCATTCCTATTCTGGTTAATGGGATGACCATCATCTGTCCACCTAAGCCAGAAATCATAGAGTTATTTTAGTTGCTTCTTTTTTATTCCTACCCTCTGGTTAGTTCCTAATTGCTATCAGTTGTACCTGAAGATACCTTTACATGCACCTCCTCCTCTCTATCCTTACTGCTGTCCACCTGGGAAATGACAGTTTTCCTAATTGTTCTAACCACCTGTAAGCTTGTCCCATATGGAGTCATCCCTACTTTACTGCCTGAGTGAATTTTCACTCTTAAAATTCTTCAGGGGCAAAATCCACATTGTTGAGAATGGCTCCCAAGACCTCCAGGATCAGGGCTCTTGGCTCCCCATCCTTGTATTTTGCCACTACCCCATGAAATACTGAACTATGCTTTAGCTAGCCTAATTACTTACAGTTCCTCATCTATCCTGGGCCACATTTATGCCTTTCTGTGTCAGGTTCTGCTGCCTAATTTTTATTTTTTTAAAGCCTGCCTGGTCTTTTAAGACCCAGCTTAGTCATTTCCATGAAACCTCTTTTCACTCATTGAGGCAGATCTGACCTTTCCGATTTTGTCAGCACTCTGCCCACCATGTATATTTTATTGAACTTAAGTTATTACTCTCCCTCCTAGACTGAGCTCCTTGAAGGCAAGTCCATGTCTGATTTAGTAGTATATGCACAGTATTTGTCTAGTAACAACTTCTCAAATGATATCTTGTCCCTCTCCGGGCCACTGGTGATCAGGAATTAGTAATGCTTTTTAATTTTGCTCATCTTACTGTCATTTAGTTCGTAGGTTTAAAGCTAGCTATGATTTAGTCCTCTTATAAAAATGAAGTATTTGCTTTGTAATCCCTTTTGATTCATATAATGAATGGTAATAATTATACACAAATTAACTTAATTATCAGAATTATTGTGCTTTTACTTCTTTCTGGTTTGTTAATGCTTCTTCCATTTGAGTAATTTTTGGCATCTCTGATCAATTTTTATTGACTTAAATACGTTAGACAGCCTCAAATGTAAACATGAAATAATTTGCCTTTAAAGAGGATATATTTAGAGTTTAAATAGTATTAGTAGGAAATACTTCTCAAAAGTGCAGGGCTGATCTTTGATATCCACGCCTGAGGTGGAATGAATTATATGGAGTTGATAGGAACCAGCATAAGGATATCAGACAATTTCTGAATTCTGTCTGTGACTTTAATATTTTATTTGGAATGAATTCTCTGGTCCTCATGTATATATATTCGAAGTTAATTTTATTTTTTTTTTATTTATTTATTTTTATTCTTATGTTAATCCCCATACATTACATCATTAGTTTTAGATGTAGCGTTCCATGATTCATTGTTTGTGCATAACACCCAGTGCTCCATGCAGAATGTGCCCTCCTCAATACC